ATATATATATACATTTAACTTTCACTTCTATTTCCATTTTAGTTTTAGTCATTTTATTACTTTAAAACTTATTTCAGTTAGTTGCTAAGGCAACATTTCAAAGTTTATTTTAAATTAAGGTCTTTTTATCTAATATTTATATTTTATTTCAGATTCATTTAAGTTAATTTAATATTAAATAATATTTTTATTAGTTTTAGTTAACATCAACAACACTGGTTCGAACTGCATTGCTGAATGATTAGAATCTTTTTAGGCAGTCTATTTATGATTTTAGCCAGAAACACAGAGATTAGTAGTAGATTAATAAAGAAACAACTCTCATAAGCTGAAAAGAAAAGAATAAGAAGTCCATTCACTCAAAACACGATCTTAAATTCCAGTTGCGCTGTTTTTTAATCGCTCATCATGCATCAGACGGGTGTCGTTGCATCATGTTTTTCACCCAATAGCTCAGCTATCTTTTCATATTTACATTCATTTATTTGACAGATGCTTTCATCCAAAGTGACTTGCTTTGCATTCAAGGTTTACATTTGATCAGTTCTTGCTTTACTTGGGAATCAAACCCATGACCTACTGTTTGAGCTGCAGGAAAGATATGAATAAAGACAGAAAGCCAATTTAACAGAAGACCAAACAACATTTAGGATAAAAGCATATCGGTGTCATATCTAAACATATTCTCTTGATTCTGCTGAACGTGTGGTTTGATGTCATTGACTGAATATGAGAGCGCTGTGACGGTGCGTATGCTAATGATATTTGTGGTTAATCGTGCCTCTTATTCTCTCCCACAGACCAGCGAGGTACAGTAATCTACAGTACAGATGAATGTCTTCATGAACTATCAAGATCTGAAGGAGCGTGTGTTTTTCTCTCTTCAGTAACTCACTGCAGTTCAGCGATGAAATTCCTCCTCCTCTTCCTCCCAAAGTGAGTCGCTCCATAATATCACTGCAATGTTACAGTATTATCTTATTCATGCTTGTGGTTGGTTTGAGTTTTTGTGGGGAGCAAAAACAAACATAGTCATAAAAACTGAAATGTATAAATATATATATACCTAATTCCGTGTGATGAAAATAAATTCATTAAAAGGCTACAATGGTTGACTAATGGCTGTTATAATTAGCTTCAGAGCTTCAGACTGTTTTGGATAACTCGAGTTATGTAATCAGATTACTTTTTTCAAGTAACTAGTAAAGTAACTCATTTCTTTTAAATGTAATGTTACTTTTTCAAATAAGTAATGCAAGCTACTTTGTTTTCCCATGTATTGACTGTTGAGAGAAATCGAGGCACTTCCTTCAGGCTCTTACAGTTGGCAAAAAATATTTAAACTTTTATTTTTTATATAAGAATTAATAAACAAGCCCAGCTCAGGTGACAAAAAGTACCACAAAAGTAATGTAATGCTTTAATTTCCATAAAAAGTAAAGCAATTAGTTACTTTTTTTATGGAGTAATGCAATATTGTAACACATTACTTTAAAAAGTAACTTTCCCCAACACTGTATATATGTACACTGCCATTCAAAGTTTGGGATCAGTAAGATTTTTAATGTTTTTTAAAGAAGTTTCTTATGCTCATCAAGGCTGTATTTATTTGATCAAACATGATCTTCAGAAATCATTCTAATATTCTGTGATACTTTTTTCTTTGATTCTTTAATGAATAAAAAGTTAAAAAGAACAGCATTTATTCAAAATAGAAATCTTTTCTAACAATATAAGTTTTTACTATCACTTTTTTATATATATTTAACACATCCTTGCTGAATAAAAGTATTAATTTCTTTCAAAAAAGAAAGAAAACAATTACTGACCCCAAACTTTTGAATCACACACACACACTCATAGACATGCACACACATGCACACTGTTCTCCTGCATAACAGTCAGTGTGTGTGTGTGTGTGTGTGTGTGTGTGCAGATCCGTCTGCGTTCTCCAGCTTCCACACTGATCCTCCAGCAGAGCTTCAGCCTCCTGAACTTCCGCCTAAGGACAGAAGACGCAGACAAGCTCCTCAGGTGCCTCCTGATGTCTGACCTTTAGTTCTGCTTCATCTCAGATCAAAGCACGTGATCTTCAGGAGATTACAGACAGAACTTCTTCATTTCTCGTGATCATCCACTAAAATGAAGAAGACTCTGTGTAAAATCTGTTATGGGTTATTTTAATCTTCTCATCTTCACACGTGTAAGAAGTGTGTGTTAATGCTCTGAGCTCTCACAGGAAGTCAGGTATCATGTGTGAGGTTAGTCACTTTGACTCAGTTTGACTTGTGTTTCGCTCTCGTTCAGGATCCGGTCGAGTGTGTCAGTCCAGTGATCAAGAAACCGCCGGTACGTTCTGACCTCACTGCTTTCTGATTACCACGCTTTCGGGAAATAAGTTGCTTGCAATTAGTGCAAAGTGCAAAATTGAATCATTGACAGAAAAAGAAATCTGTGTATAAGTCACATTTTGTTGTTACGATTAGAAATAATGTAAAATACCAGTAAATAAAACATTTACAAACACTATAAAACAGTGTTTTTGAGATACTATTATAGTTTTCATTAATATTTTGAATGTTTTTATTTTTTATGCTTTAAGTTTTGTTCAAATTTTCATAATCGTTTTGTATTTTCGTCATTTTTATTTCAGTTTTAGTTTTTATTTTAGTACGTTATGCCGTTAAACTGAATGAAAATGACAAATGTTGCTTTGCAAAGTAGCTGAAATAAAATAAGTTTAGGTTTTTTATATTTTATCTTATTTTTAGTTCAATTTCATTTGATTTCAAGTAATGAAAATGTTTTTATATACTGTAGTTTTAGTTTAAGTTAACTATAATAATCCCATAAACGTGTTTTAGTTCCTCTCACGCCACAACAAATCCTTTCAATTTAACAGCATACAGAACAATAATGAAAAATATAAAATGCAAATGAATTATAGTGCCATTCATTATAAAGATTTATTATAAACAACAAGCCTAAGCACAAACTGTGTTAAAGTTGGATGTGAGTAGAGATAAAAATTGAAACCCATGGGATAACAACATTTACTTTTCCATTTATATTATATTATCTCTCTGACAGATTGTCTTCAGGAAGGTCTTTCACGGCTGTCCTCTGAAGCTGAACTGCTCGAGCTCATGGGAGCATCCCACCACTAAAGGTACAGTCTGAGATATTCTGCTGGAGTGTTTTCTGAGTGCAAACAGTAACATAATGAGTAACGTTCCTGCTGTTGGCTTTAGATCAGCACCTGATCTTCGGGGCGGATGAGGGGATCTTCACACTAAACCTCAACGGTTCTGAGACCACCATGGAGCTGGTGAGAGACCCTCACACATGCTGATCATTCCTCAGCACATTCACTCTCCATTAATCTGCTTCTGCTCTTTCCCAGCTGTTCCCGGGCAAGTGTGTGTGGCTCTACACCATCGGTGGCGTCTTAATGTCCGTCTCAGGTGAGGAGCACACTTGTGTGATGATGATGATGATGATGATGGAAGTGTGTGTGTGATGGAGCTGAAGGACTGATGAGAGTTTTGTGAAATAGGGAAGTCATCGCAGCTGCACTCGCACTCGCTGAAGGAGCTGTACGAACAGACGCGCAGAGAGCATCGCATCGTTGCCCTGCCGACACACAGACTGTTGCCACGGTAACCGCCTCCTTTTGTCACATTGTATGCATTTGAGTTATGAAGCAGCGTAACACACACACACTTACTGCGGCAACAGCTTCACCGAGGTGTGTTCGAGTACGACCACACCTGCAAGAAAACTGAGAAACCACACACACACACACACACACACACAAACACACAC